CTTTGTGACCAGCCAATATCTTTATCAACTCCATGGGGAGCATACAGTCGGTGCTGTCATTTCGGAGCTAGTATTCAACAATTCAAACACTGCCCAACCACGTACTCATTTACAGTTGAGTAGAATCAAACAAGCGCAGAAATGTATCTTGCTCAAAGATACAACACAGTACCGTGCCGTGACTCGAACCCGCAACCGTTTTGTTTTATCTTGCTTCAAGTGGAAAATAATGACCAAGCTGTTCTCGATATTCTTGTTTATTTTTGTTTTATTAAAAGACCCATATTTCACTAATACAGCTGCATATATCAATCTATGAAAAAAAAGTGTCATGGTTACATTGATACTCCCGTACCAAACCAAATATTTATAGAAAAAACAATCAAAACTGTTGATATTGGTACCCACTATAGGTGTTTCCTTGTCAAACACTTATTACTATATGTACGTATCCACGAGGATGTTTCATTCGACAAGTCTATTCCATATTATGTATCAATAATTGGATATCTGATTATTTAATTTGCTATGTAAGATTCACTCAAATCTTCTCAAAAACACAATGTCAGGAGAAAATATGATTAATAAATAACCATTTGCCAAATGTGATGCCATCAGTATCCAAACAATAATTGCATTGCTTTGTAATCCATGTTAAATTCACACAAATTCAAAAATTAGCAAAATTTGATACTATAAAACAAAATCAGTAGTATAATCCATTAGTGATATTGAAATGTGGTACAATATAAGAGTCTGAAGGAACAGAATGACATGTGAAATACAGTTGAAATGTGAATTACTTTAGCATACATCACTGAAGTAAACACAACACACCTTAGCATTAAGGGCAAGCAAAAGAAGTGTGTTTGTATGCATTACTTTTTTCCAAACAACAGTAGGTCGACATTTAGCTGCCATCCAAACCTGAAATTGTCTTCACACTCACGCCATAAAAAACCTGCAGTGAGTCCTAAACGACTGATAATTTTTCCCCTGTAGTGTTTATGGATTTTTCCCATCTTATGTTACCCATTCAGCACCTCAAGTGTGAATCTGTACTCAATGCTAGGGTTGTCACAATGAGGCATGCTTATTTCAAAACATTTGCTACACTCTTTGTAAAGTTCAAAACGCCATAATTGATCTAAAATTAGAAGCACGCGGTACTCCTAGGCACAGCAATGCACTCTTCGTTTATAGATAGAGTTTAATTGACATGTAGTATTGTGTATTACATCATAGCAATCAATTTTATTCCACAGGAAAATCATTTAAATGACACGACTGATTATGTTGTTATAGAAAGGAGTTGTTTGAACTAATTTCCATTTCAGAATGATCATCTTAAGTCAAAGGTCAATGACACAGTCCTCTTTAAGTTTGCCTACGTTTTTTTCTTATAATATTTTTTGAAAGTTATATCCTTTATACCCATAAAAGGTACAAAGACAATAAGACCAGGACCCGTATTCATGAAACCGTTTCCATGCTCAAGCATGGATTATGTGCTCCGATTCAGCTTACTGTAACTAACTTAAATCACGTGACACAGACAAGCTGTCCAATGTAAACACTGGAAATATTTATCTGTTTAAAGTCCCTCACAAACTTTTAAAACAACACGGACAAAATGTGAGATGTGATTGATTTATCAGCGAGAACGAGAAAATTAACTTGCGCACAAAATCCGAGTTTTAAAATGGCGACTGTTTCATGAATATGGTCCAATATGTTTTGAGAAATCTATATTTAAAGTGTTCTAACACATGTTCAAATAAAACAAACATACATGGCTCATAGATTAAAGGTACTTGCTGTTCAATAAAATCGGAAGCTCGATTAAAAATGTGATGCCCGTCTTATTTATACAATTTTCTTTTCCGAAATGCGCAGTATTTATTCTTCTTTTGATACGTCCTCAAGCAGAGAGTCACGTAACAAGGTTTGAGGTTACAAAACAACCCTCTGCAATTCAACATTTTATAACGCAGAAAGTTCCACATTTACAGTAACCAGTTTAGTGTTATTGTATAAACTAGAGTGTAATTAATTTTGGTTTATTGCAGAGAAATTCAATATAGATATTGTGTGAATACAAGGGTGGACATTTTAGTTGAAAGATTTATACAATCATTATTAACGATATAACTAATGTTCTCATATTTGCCTCAATATAAAAAGCATGAGATGATAAATTTCTATCATATACTGACACATTTCGTATAATATCCTATTCTCATGATTTTTTTTAAACTGAACAGGTAACATACTTCATTTATTACTTAAGTCAAAAACGAAATTCCCCCTCCCCCGACCAATATGAAGAAAGAACATACATGTCCGGAAATTATTAAATGGATGTTAGGCAAATTGTTAAATGGAGCCATTTGAATTTTGAATGGGCTAACTAATAACAACTTTCGGTATATTTATACAGATTCGTTGTACAACCAAAATATAAACATACCACATAATTATAAAAGAAATGATATAAACCAATAACAGATTATATAAAATAAGGATTTTTTATTCTAAACATAAATTGTTCGAGCTTTCCATTATACATGTAAAGAATCGGGAACAAATCATAGCATGACATCACTTTTGAACTATGACGCAAATTTCTCCACATGCTAAGATAGTTTGTTTGCATTGTGTGATTAACCAAACACCCCCCGATGTTGTTTTGAACGTCACTGCTAGGAATGTCATTCATCTGTTAACCATTAACATATTGTATAAAGGTCACAGTTCCCTGCAAGCATATTTTCAAAATTGCGGTAATGCGCATGGTGAATTCCGTCTTTGCATATTGCAGAGTTATCTTCTCTTGATAACAGGTATTGCTTGTTGCGTCACTTGTTTAAGAGAGTAACGTCATCAATTTTTGAGAAAACGACGTAATTTTCTCACACAAACCAATGACGTAACAATCAATACCTGCTCCCAAGAAAAGATAACTCTGCAATACGCAAAGACGGAATAGGTTTGAACGGAGGTGTTTTGCATATAATTTTAAATACTTGAAGATATACATATTAATCGTTTGATACAACGATTATCAAATATGCTAATATATTCAATTTGTTAATTCGTTAATTTGTTAATGTCTAACAAAAAAATGTCAACAGATGAGGGGGCTACTCAAGGACAAGTTTGAAGTATCACATTTGTATCGCATTGGAAGACATTTGTATCACATCGAAAGATATTTGTATCTCATCGGAAGGGAAACACCTCCGACAACCCATCCATATTATAGTGATAGTGTGCCGATCTGATTTGATAAGAAGAAACGCTATCGCCTAGCGAGTTAGAAATTGCTCGACCTATAGTTTGTAGACGTGTGCCAGGCAGTGGTAACAAAATGCTGATTTCTTGGATACGGCAGTGGTCACTGTAATACATCGCATAAGGCTTAACACAGGTATAGAAAAAAGTATGCCATGGACTACTACATAATATGCTGATCATATCTGTATTCGAAAGGATGTCTTTGGGTGCGAGAAAAATATCTAACTGACCGTTCTCATATACAGATATATTAATATTTGATATGCTAGAAACAGGGACAATTCGTATAACATTATATTAATTAATAATAAAAATAGATGCACAACATCAAATAGAGCAGGAAACAAAAACAAGATTTCCACAGATAGCGGAGAAGTAACAACTAAAAGGTAGTAGTTCGCCTTTGTTTTGTTTTTTTTCGATTTCGTATTCAATTCTGTTACTATTTTCATCTCAAGACTTAAGTGCCGCTATAGATTGGAAAACTCAAGGTTCAAGGTTTCGTCAATTATTGACTACATGGTGACCGTTTGATAGCTTCCTTTTGTCATCGAATGATTACAGGTATGTCTAGATTGCTTGGGCATCGTTTAATTGTTTCCTCTTTGTCATTTAATGATTACAGTTATGTTTATATTACATGGGTATCGTTTAATGGTTTCCTCTTTGTAATTTAATGGTTAATAATTTTTCGATTACATTGTAACCATTTTATTGTTTCTTCTTTGTTATCGAATAATTACAGTTATATCTAGATTGCTTGGGCATCGTTTAATTGTTTTCTCATTGTCATTTAATGATTACAGTTATGTTTATATTACATGGGTATTGTTTAATGGTTTCCTCTTTGTAATTTAATAGTTACAGTTATTTTTAGATTTCATGGTGACCGTTTCATGGTGACGTGCTATGTTACAAAAAATGTGAAGATTACATGATGAACATTCGATGGTTCCCTTTTTGTCATCTAATGGTTAAAGGTAATTTTAGATTACATGGTTACTGTTTGATAGTGTCATGTCGTGTCATCTAATGGTTTAAGGAATCTGTAAATTACATGGTTATCGTTTGATGGTTTCCTCGTTGTCATCTAGTGGTTAAAGTGATTTTTAGATTACATGGTAACTTTTTGATGGTTTCATGATATGTCATTTAACGGTTTATTGATCTGTTTATTAACATGTATTTATCATGTCCTAGTAACAATGATAAGTAGATTACAATGTTGTCCTTGGATGGTTTCCTGCCATATTTTACAGTACCTTCTTGCTATATCTGAAAAGATCAAGTTTGTGCCATGCTCCAAACTGGCACGTGTAGCGTCTGATAATGACCACACAGCAGTAGCCTCCTCCTATCACACGCCAATGGATTATTGTAAGATCAGATGGGAAAGGCTTAACGATCAGTGAACACGAATTTAAGCTACAATAATTAAATACCTGTAAGCATGATACTTTTCCCTAATACGCTTTATTGTTAAATATAGCATATGCATATTAATCTTTGTATAAGCGTGTTACAGTGAACAGTCCACCGACAGTCACCCACATCGCTCGTCAATTTGCACCTTCCGCCCTGAACGGCCGGCCGCACAGGTACTGGAATTACATTGTATGGTACGACAGATCTTCGTGACAATGGCATCATTCTAGCAAACATCGTCGGACGGGAGGTGCGCTCAGTGAATAGCTATGCAAACGATGGATATACCATGCCTTTGTACAGGGATACCACTATACGAGGATTACTATGTGAACGATTCAAAACTTGCCTTAAATACATCAATTGACGTGGCACATATACACAAAAAAGATGTCATGGATTTAAGTATATTTTATTCGAAGCTATCCCCAGTGGAGGATACCCTTGTTGCCCTTTATCTTGGAGTTGTAGGTACGTATCTTTTTCATTTCGATGAAAACAAAACAAAACATTTCTTATCTTTTACATTTGTTATTAATGATCTGCGATTTATTCTTAGGTTAGACTTAAGATGGTTTGAAATTGGTTTTGTAGAAATTGTGCAAAGCAATGTTGTTGTGTTAACGAGAACGCTTACACGATACTACATACTTTGAGGCTTTTAGGTTATTTAATCGTGCACTGTGCAGTTTGTGAAATTCTTCTGCTGGATAACCGAACTACTCGGTAGTGAAGCGGATGAAAAACCTATCAATCAATCAATCAATCAATCAGTTTGTGAAATAAGGCTCCAGCCATCAATAGGTCATTTAAAGATTGTTATCTTTAATAAGCTAAATATATTTGTTTATTTGTAATCATTTCTTAATCGGAAATGTAACGAAACTAATTTGTTTTTGCGATAGAAGTAGACTTACTTACCTAGTAATATAATCTACATGTCATCTCTATACATGAAAAATACCTAACTTCTTAAATTTAAATGTAAATTAGATGCACCATATAGGAAGTTTGTAAAACCTATAAATGAGTATGCACATCTAAATTAATAAAAAATAATTTTATGCTACACATGGTCATATTGATGTATTGATCTCAAAAACATTGTAAAACATACGATACCTTACTTAAAAATGTTTTTTAGTTTAAAACAAAGTTTCATACTAGACCGCTTTGGTTTATCTTTAATCATAGAATAGGTTTTTGGACAAGGTCTCTTAATTGATAACACAAGTAACTACCTATACTTAAACCTATCATGTTTTTCTCCTCGTTTTGAATATGAATATGATGATAATATTAAACTGCATATGAGCGTACAGAGAAATTGTTGATATTCCAAAAGAGTCTTCTAACGAGCATTATACTAATCAGTCCAGTCGTCTCATTTGAAGGTATTATAAAATTAGCACAGATGGTACAGGAACACTGATTCAAAATACGCTCGTTCGGTCTGAAAATCGAATAAATCTGGTTAATTTCAATAGCGGATAATACAAAATTCATAACACAATGCTCCTGGACGATGTCGAGTTTTGTTAGTAGGAAAACTTTCTCTGAAAATCCTATTCTACGGCGACAATGGATATTGAACCGTGGCCGATTGCTTAGTATTTGCATATAAATAAACACCAGTCTTGTGACATTAATGCAATCGAAGGAATACATAGAATGTACAACATTTGATATAGCGTCCTATCTAGCAAGCATAAGCCACTCTAACGCGTTTTACACTACATAGATATACAATGAGATACACATATCTTTCGATGTGATACAAATGTCTTTCAATGTGATACAAATGCGAAACTTCAAATGAATACAACTAACACATACATGAATCAATAGAATTTTGAGGAATCCGCAGGAGCTGCCATATCAGGCGCTTACTACTAGTCATTTACCACCTGGCTAATATCTCCATATGTGTAAAAGCCTGCGTGTGTGGTGGGGATGTATTGTGTTCAGTTTGTAGTATAACCGAACTTCTTGAATGCCACAGCACAGATACCGCAACAGCAATCCCAGACCATTTTCTACTCCACCTGGGTAGTTGGAGTTGTGTGGGCAGGAGAAAAACACTTTCTCTGAATATTACATGCGTACGACCAGTCCGCCCATAATATAAATATAGAGAAACAATGAATACAAGTTAAAATCTATCGCCTTAACATGCAAGGAAATATAAAATATAGGTGGATACTTTGCATTTTAAGGTAACAGAGGAGGAGAGGGAAAGCAGGAAGAGAGTTTTTTAACTATCAATCCATTTAAAGATGTCGCTTGGATAGTGATTAGATGAATGATAATTGTTGACATATCTGCTAGGTCCAGTTCTGTAAAGGTTACAACCAGTTATGAAAAACCGTTAAAGCAGAATCGGCAAAATCAATGTAGCAAACCTTGAGGTTATTAAAGTCGATAAAGGTTTGTGAACAATATCATGATACATCATAAGTAGGTCTATATTAACAGCATAGCGTCTTACCACAGACAAATTTCGAGTGAATTTCAGTGCTCAATTTATCGACGATAATTTGTTAAAGAAAGCGTGTACTAGAAGTGTATCTCTGGAGCTTTGATCAATAATCCGGAATCTGAATACCACGACCAACGCAGTTTTGTGTATGTAGATATCTAAGCAATAAAATAACAAACCAGTTTCCGTGTCGCCTAGATGCCAATTAAACCACACTATATGCTGCATAAGACTGTGTAATGTTAGTTTTTCTTATTTTCATTAAAAATGTTTACCCTCGAGAAATGTCTTAGAACGCGAAATAAACTGTGTCCGTGGTGATGTAATGGTAGACGGTTTAAATAGGATTATTCGACTGTTTGCCAATATGGAATCTTACATGCACATATCGATAAAGTGAAGACTTAGATGTATAGATCATTCGAAGTAATGTTACTCCTACTTCAAATAAATAAATTGATATAGAAAGGTAAATGAAAGGTTTAGAATATATATGTATACCTTAGATAAATTCATAAAAAACCCGTCTTTTTTAAAGAAAGTTCAATCACGACGATTTTTTCTGTTACATCCACTATTTTTGCTATTGTTTTTTACATACATGTACATAACATGAACACTTCCAATTTATTTTGACATGATATATTTTTTTTATGCCAGTTTGGTTCATTGTTACCTCTGTTAAGAAAACATGCTTTACGAGTGTTATCACTTTTTGCCTCTCTTTACATAATTAAACTGATGATGATTATAATTAATGCTCTTTTTACGTGTTACTTTAAGCTAATTTTATGTATACAAGTCCAGAATAAGCTTCAGCCACAGGGTCAACCGTAGAAACTGATTGTTCCAAAGTCGCGTTAATCATCCTGTGACATAAAAAAATTCGATGTAAGTAAGAAGTAAAAGACCGCTTATTAAACAATTTATCAAGACTATGCAGAAAGTCATACAAACTAAATAATTACCAAACCATATGGCCGTTTCGCCCAATTAGGACTGATAAGTGGTACCATTGGCCAAACAAATGAAAAATTTGTAGAAATATGACAAAATTGGAACTATGCCAATCAAACTTTGTAAACGTTACAAATATATTTTCGCATGCTCATGTCTTCCATTTTGCTTTGATTTTCTCTTACTTCCTTTTGTCGTTTTATTATCAAATATCTATTTTCAATTTTGTTCTTATGTAACAATTCGGAGATATTTGAGATAAGAGGCAGACATGATAACTGTAGCTATTACGATATCAAACATTCTATCAAAACTGAACATGACGAGGTAAAAAGCAACGTCTTTGGCATATCGAAGGCGTGTCTTTTTATGGTTCATATGTCGTTAAATATAATTTGATGCTAACTTTGTAGGTCAGTTTTCATGAAACAGTTCTCATGTTTAAGCATGAAGTATATGCTCAAGTTGACGTTCTTAGCACTCTCTTTAATCACGTGTCATGGTCAAAAAGTAAAGTGTAGCATTGACTGTATTTGACAGTAGGTCTTAGCTAACATTGACAAACTATGATTTTATTATTAATCTATCACGGGCACACGAAATTGGGCTTGAGCACAGAATGTAGGTTGACGTTTTCATGAATACGGGTCCCACAGAATTTTTGGTTTGAGCATGATAACGGTATTATGATTACGAGCACGATATATCACGGTAAAACCTTTTCCGGTTACATATATATTTTTACATCTTGTATATATATTAACATGTTTCGGAATGTGTTTAACACTTTAGTGTAACCATAAAACAGCGCGAACAGATTACACGTCATGTGTGTTATGCCACAAGAGTGATGTGTATTCCCTGTATTATATGTAAGCACTGGTACAATGTTGATGTTTTTGACGATTGTATAAATAAGATTCTCTATGACAATCCGTAAACAGCAGTTTCCCCTGTTATAGTGGCTGCGAGGTAAACGCCTGTATTTCAATCCATTATGTATCTAGATTATAAATTACATTCTGCACTCTTTCAGCAAATTACCTTTTTTTTTCCGATACGACCGGAATATTAATGAAAATTGGCAGAGAAAATATTGAAGGTTATGAGAAATTTCTTTTCTAGATAATGGATTAATGTCTAAAATGTAGAATACTGTCACTATTAATCGGGTGCGTGATTATTTGTATTTTGTTATGGATTTTGTTTTTATAAACAACACACTTCCTGGTTATTGATTTTTAAAGTAAAGTTTTGTAGCAAATTGAAAAGGAAATCCTAATATCAGAAAGTACAATTATACCAAAATGCCATCACACCCTGACAAATTCGAAATGGCAAAATGGATTCTTGCATCATCGTGGCAGATTATACTGTACCGTTGATGCGATACAGTTATAAATATGCTAGATTTGTTTAACTCCAGACTCCGAAATCCCATACAAATGCTGACACTTATTTCAGTAGGGAATAAAAATGTAAAGACCGTTTCTAGTACTCGTCATATATTTCGCCAATTTTTCCGCTGGTCCTGAAGCGTTGTAAATATGTACATTGTACTTTCGATTGAGTTTTATACGATTCCTAGAAGTTCGAAGTCAAACAAACAAACAAACTAGAACAAAAATAATTCTTAGGTACAAAATACTATTCGAGTAACAAAAGATGGAGGTTTTTGTATGCTTGTCTTCTGATGTAAGATATCAATTAAACAATCACTAGAAACAGGAAAACAAACTATGTTTTAGGATGCAGAAAGCCATACAAAGACAGTATTTTCTGCATTGTGATAATTTCGATCACTAGTGTATTGATTTAAAAAATGCTGTTTGAATGAAATATTCCATCAAAGATTTCTAGAGGAAAGCTGGACAAATTTGTAAAAAATATTGTTGTTCGATTCAAGAAACAGAACAGTACTAGAAACATAAACTATTTTGAACATGTCTTGATTGCAAACGCCGACATGCAGTCTGAGACCATTCAGTAGACAGCACACAACAAGCAAGTGTGTCAACAAGTGTAATGTTGGCATTGAGTATCAAACCAAAGTATGGTTTAGGGGCACGGAGGTAATTAAGCAATGGACAGCTATTGATAAAATTTACTCAAAATAGCATATGCATGGCAGGTGTTTAGTCTCATCTGACGTGAAGATAACACGTGTTAAAAACAATTATCACTCGATATTTTTCATTCTTATTAGATATGATGTTCTTAACCATTGTCATAGCTATACAACGAAACCACCTCTTCTGAAGAATCATAAGGCCTAGAGTCATTATATTTGGCACAGAATCTTGATAATGTTGCAAAACACAACTATATCGTATTGCATTACCTCAAATACCATACGTTTTTAATCACCAAAGTGTTCGTTTATTTCCCTTACACCGTTAGTGTATTGTATTGTACCCGGTACTTTTATACCGGTGGTTTATTTTCTCTACAACGGTTGACCTTACAGGTCAACTCGTTTTCATACGTCTTCCTGTTGGTGCTTCTTTATTTTATATTTTATAATATGTATTTTAATACCCTGATATTACTATGATTATTGTGAGGAGCTCTTTGTATTGATTTGTGCTAACACTGAGGACGTGAGGCATTCTTGTATTAACATTATATGTAAAACTAATTTTGAGTGATGTTAGTTCGTTTATAAATGTGCGTATCCATGAACAAACTAAATGTCATAGAAACTTTCCATCCGACTGCAAACTTTGGAAAAGGTTAGCTATAAATGTTTGCATCTGACAGAGTGGGCGACATTAATTTCAAATGCAGTCCAAATTCATATAAGACATACGATTACAGGATAGCAAACAACTATGCTGGAACAGAAGTTCAGGTACGAAGAAAAAGAAAAACAGGACAATATCAGATACCTTAATATATATATCTGGATACTGTTTCATTTGTCTCCTTGTTTATTCTATGATATGATGAACATGTTGCTTAAAAATACCAGAACAATTTAGAAATTTGAATATAGTACATGTAGCTATCATATTTTCCCTTTTTTCTTTCCTTTGCTTTCTTTACAAGTGATTTTACTATACGTAGCAGCAGTTTGTAGGATAACTCACTAATTGATGACATAATTACATTTTTTATGAATCTTCAGAAAATATGCAAAATTGCCATTTTTAACGTTAATGTTTAATTATGTTTAACTTAGACATGTAATCTGATGAGATGGCAAATGATTCTAAGGCCCACGTATTTTTCCTAACATCAATGGGCATTACTGTCCATGAATACGCTTTAAATGCGAATTTCATTTGCATGTCGTAATAGGAATGGACGAGACAGAATTACATTTAATGGGGGTTGGTTCTATTTTTGTTCCTTTTAGGATTGGTATTGCGACAATTCTTCCAGTGTATCATTATGTAGTGTACTTAAAATGATCTTAAAATTTCAATAGAATTACAATACTTTGAATTTATCAAGCACATTACTTTAAAAGTTGGTATTATTACAGCAATGTTTACGATATTCGCAATATTCTTTTTTTACGCGAAAAATTCCCCCATGAAATTAATAACACATGAATCAATCCTTACAGTTTCATAATGAGCCACGATCACTTGATAATTATACATGGAAGCCGCGAAACAAAGCTTTCCATAAGATAGAAAAAAATTACACGAAAAATAAATAAATATTTTTTCACAGTATTTCTTAGTGAAGTTTTGGTCTCTCGTTTTCTTTTCCTTTTTTAAATTTACATGCATGTTTTTAACGCCAATTTCGCCAATTTTTCTAGATAAAAGTATTATGTATCAACACAATGATAAAGGACCTGCATATGTTACATCAAAATGAGCATTTCTGAGGAGACATTTTATCCAGATATTCCCTTTTTCTGTGTTATTAGAAGGTCGGTGTTTCTTATAATGCTCTTGTGAGTGCCTTGTGGTTTAATTGTCACTACCCGTGTTATTGCAAGCGTACTTAGATTCGGCTAAGATGTATATGACGGGTGTTATTGATGCCGCCTTACACGCTTATCCTTGCGGAACGCCTGGTCTTATCATCTTTGAACTTTGTCAACGATCTGCATAAAACTTTACCCTTTGTTCCGAGTTTGCCCTTGTTATCGATTTTGAGTATGAATTGGGTTTTGGTGACACTTCAGTATTCATTAGCTATTTTTCGTACCCAAAGATTTTGAAAGCAATACTTTTATTCTCTAACCAAATAGAAAAATAAGCACATAACAATTATATACACATTCTTATTAAATATCTAAGAATACGACACCGAAGAGACATATATATTATCAGGATCGACATTTCAATTAAGTTTACTCAATTCCCAAAATACAAAGCATAAATGCAGCGTTAACACAAAACAATCGCGTGTTTGTTTGAAGGTTTTGTTAGTGTTGAACTTTAACCCCTTGCAGCAGCAAAGGTCATATGATAAAGATGATGAGTTTAATCATGTATGATCAATCCTTTCCATTAACACTTCACTTAGATACTGTCATACGAAAAAAAATTGCGTAGGATTTTTCTTCTGATTTTGTGTATTATTCCAAAATCGGTATAGCAAAAAATCACGATTAAAGTACATGAAATGTTAATATTAGAAAAATGAGATTATCGATCTTTGTGATTATAGGAAGATCGTTATTATCGTTATCATTTACGACACATTAGAAGTGTGCCGTGACATGTCTCTGCTCCTTTTGACACCGGAAAGCGCTAGTAAACAGGCACACATTTTGTCATCAAGTGCTCAGTAAACTAGGTACATTTGTACCTTATCAATGATCTCTTGCCATAGAGATTTGAAATGCCTGGCATAGTTCATTTAATAACATTATCAGTATAACGCATGACCTACGTCTCTGTAACCTGTGCTATGTCATGACAACTTATGGAAACGGAACGTCATAAACGATCGACTTTGATAACAAACGTTTCGTTCTTCTTTTATCTCAAAAGAACAAACATCATCCTGACGATAGGTGAAGGTTGTTCATTTGAATGTAAACATGTCAATTAGCTCTCTTTCTATTTTTTCATGACATTATATAGGGGTGCAGTCAACGTAAGTAAGCACAGCTTTTTTAATACCATGGGTGCCTTTCAGACGTTGCTGCATATTATGCAAATTTGTTGTAATTACATTTTATACATCCTCATCAGGATAAATTTAAAGGTATGCTTTTTTATTGCAGGTGCAACCTCCATTTTCCTGAATGCGATGGTGTTATTTGTTTGCTTCAAGAAACGGCGAACTTTGAAGTCAATTGACTATTACATTGTGAACCTCGCTATCACTGATCTGTTTCTCCCCCTGTTTGGTTTCCCACTGGTAGTGACGTCATCTTTACAGCACGAGTGGCAGTTTGGAGTATATGGTACGAAATCACTAATCATATTTACTGTATCATGAACGTCAAAACAAACAACAGAACACAATATATTAATTGACATATTTGCATCAATATCAAAATTAAAAAAACAAACTATACATCATATCTTAAAAAAAGAAACATACGGAAAAATGAATTGCATCAAACTAATAGATGTTGGATCCATAACTCTTGCATTTGACTTTGCTACTTTCTTATTGCGATTCCTAGACATGTAACATTTTCAAATTGTATGACCACTATCATAACATTTTGAATGAAAGAAATTAAATTAAATAGTATGTATGCGTAGTTTGGAAATAAGTACTGAATGTGAAATTACGTGAATGTCACGATTAAATATTGGTAACATTTTGAAATACGTAGTCATTTGAAAGGATAATGCTTTACAAAATCCACATACTAAGTTTAATGCCTCTTTAAGTATCTTGGCGTCTGGTTCACGTTTCATGCCGGACGGATTAGGCAAGCTAACGCCCATTTTGGCGTACATGGTTATTGAACCTTCAAGCATAGAAATGATTTGCTTTGTTTAGAGTTAATAGCTTTGCGTTATATCCTTGTCGTGTAATGCTTATAGCTCAGATATTATCAGTCATTATCTCGTAGGATACATCATAGCTCAGATGTTGGAAGAAGCTTATCGCCTATGGCATATTATAGCTCAGATATCGCTCGAAAAATTATAACCATGGTGTGATATAGGTAAGATATATTAAGCCTTGTATCGCATGTTCTGTTAAATGTCGCTGTATCTCTTATAGAAACCAAAGGTCGTAATTGTTATTTGTGGAACTAGTTAATTCCTTAGTCATTTTCAAATTAATGTGACCGTTGGGGTGCATTATTCCATGTTCTCCTCACAGCTGCAGGAAGGGGACCGGGACAAAAATACAACTGTTGTTACCCATTGCATGTATCGTAGGAGGCGACTAATGTGTTAACCCATTGCTTTAGTGTCCTCTATTTTGGGACACAAAAGCGACCAAAATAATTCTGCTGCGCCTATTGCAATATTTGGGATCTTTATATTTCTTAATACTTCTAGCTACATTTTGTTTCCTAGCGCCTTTCTTGTCAACACATCACTTTTGGCTTTCATGTAGGGCGTTCGCCCAGGTGAGGAAGGCAATAGGTTCTTTCCCCAGACTAAGACATACCAAAGTCATTGAAGATAGTGGTTGTTATTCCTTGCTTAACGTTCAGCATTTAGGTGAATGACAAAAACTGGTTCACCCGTTTTCAGTATAATGTGACCGGGCGGAATGCTCTACTGGGTGCCTTCGGCCTGGTATTTCAGTGAGATATCTACTATAAAGTCTACATCAGATCCGCGCTATCACAAGGGGGAAAGCACACTAACATACCATGTCTCCTGCATACATACACGCAAGCACGCATACACTACACAGATGGAGGCACGTCTGTACATTACCTGAACTGTTAATATAACGTTAAACGTAATTAAACCAAACCAAATCTTATTACCTCTTTGAGCGGATTGCGGCATTGATCTGATGGAACAAACACATAACAATAAATTGTAAATGTGATGAAATATACATATAGATTAACGATTTGTTGTATTGTACCCTTCTATTGCCATTATACACTGACAGTCGATAAAAACAAGTTAATAATATAGTAATCGACAACCTACAAGGTATTGTATCAGGCTCCGTCATTAGGTTAGTCTAAACGATACGACTCTACCGTTCGCGTTAGAGGACCATGAGGGTTCACATATATTGGCTATACTTTTTTCACCACGACCTGTAAATGATATATCCCCAGTCTACGATACGATATGCATAATTCGTTACTTTTTTTCCAGGTTGTTACGTATACGGGTTTCTTGGTTTCTTCTGTGGAACAGTCAGCATATCAACGTTAGCTATGATGAGTTTCGTACGCTATATGAGCGTTTGTGAAATGCAAAAAAGTAAGTGTATTGAGTATTGAATGATTGATCAAGTTTACATTTTTTGAACCAAATTAAAAACACTTAATGTTTACTATACTTATTTTTGTGATAACCATATTTGAATCAAGAGAAATTATATTTGAGTGTTAATTTCCAAAATTACAAAAAAATAATTAATTGAAATTTGATATTGATTTGTCATTTTTTATAGTGATCATAATATTAATTTCAACGATCCCTCTAAATTAATAATTTTCGCTCACACAATTATTACTTATCATTATATAGATATTATTGATTGAAATAGTTGATAGTATCTCATTCTCATAGAGGAATTTTCTAACTGATTTTTGGTCATATGACATACTTTTTTTCCCGTAATTAGCGTCCATCCTTTATGAGCGACAATCATTGCCTCTCCCGTTTTTCGGTAGGATTTGAAATTGTATAGACCCCCTTCCCAACAATGACCTGACCAAGTCAATGATTTATCGAACCTATACTTGAATACAGACATGTATGTCTAGTGGTCATGGCTGGACCGTAAGGCGGGTAAAACCTCCTTCAATATCAAAATATTCATCAACACAGGAATGTTAAAAATGTCCCTCAGATATCCCATTTTTCAGCAAAAATTAGCAGTCTTTGACAGTTTTCCACCATAAACACAAAGGGACCCAATGGAATCGAAACAATGGAATAATAGAAAAATGAAACTTTGTATCAACTGGATATATATAAAAAAAATGCATCAATACATTTATCTTACTGACGTGTTTTGTTTGTTTGTTTTATTCGACATACAAGCACCTTAATATTTGGAAGTAGACTCGGTCGAAGTTGTGTCGAATGGTTCATCTCTAGTTTTCCGTTTTAGTGGTAGATTGCAGAATTCAAACTACTTGAATAGGTGGAATTTCTATAATTATCAACACTGAAATCTGTGTCAGAAAATAGCAACAAGGACTTGTCACGTATTTTCTTCTTTTAAAGAATAAGTTTAAAACACCACCTAAAACCCTTATGAGCCATCAACGTCTTTACTACTGTTGTATAATTGTAAAACGTAAGTTAATCTATATTATCTTTTGTTTCAGGTGTACATTTAACAAAGCATACATCAGTACTGGTGTTCTTCACCTACGTTTATGCGTGCATCTGGTCCATTCCACCGTTTCTAGGATGGGGTAATTATGGAGTTGAACCTCATGGCACATCATGTACATTAAACTGGTCCGGAAGTCGCTCTTTTGTGACTGTCATGCTTATTATGTGTATAATACTACCCGTCGTTATTATGACGTTTTGCTATGGACGTGTCTTACTATTTTTAAAAAGAAGTACAGACAATCTTAATAAATGGACTCCTCATCGACCTAATAGAAAGCATGCAAATAGAAAACTGGAAAGAAGTTTGATAAAGGTACGTTTTTTCTTCTTCTATTTCGCAAAATACATATTTTGTTTTAACTATTAAATTAAATGATATAATAAGTATGTTCCCTCTTTATAGTAATTGATACATGTCTTTTCGTTTGCTACGCTTTATTTTTACGTTAAATAACTGTATTAACCTTACGTACATATTGTTGCATAACAACTTACTAGTTACCCCTCAGGCTATGATAGATAACACATAAAAAGAAGCAATACGATGACGCCACTATCACATATGACGTCACAAAAAGCGATCGACATTGTGATTTTGTGCAAATCAGTATAAAATTGGGTCACAAATGCTGATAGCAAGTGTTTTTGAACATATCATAGATATAATGGAAGAAAACAAATCATTCCCCGCGATGGAACTTTGCAATCGTCGGGGCAGAATTCTTGAGTGTCTAACCTTCGGCTTGAAGCAAGGTCTGGGTTAAGCTGATTTTTCCCCTCGGATTGCAATTGCTCTGCCACATGCTCACTTTGTGTTAAGATTCTACTTAATAGCATGTGCATAGACAGCTAGAGAGAGGCATTGTCTCTTAGCATATTGAATAATAAAAATAACTAGCAATGACCATACATTATGTAGGACAATTTCTCTTAGATGATTGTATTTTAATAAGACTATGAAAGTATCTCAAGCGTAGTTTTATTACTAGACAGAACATCTTGCCAATGTCTCATTTATATCCATGCTTTAACGTAAATTGATGTTTAATTTTGGAAATGTTATGATATTTGAATGTTAAATCAAGCAATATGTATCGAAAAAACTCTGTTCATTGCTTAACATAACTAACCTGTTTGTTGTCATTTTCCTATTCCAGTTGACGTTTACAATGTGTGTGGCGTTCGTGGGAACGTGGACTCCATACGCGGTGTTTAGCCTGTGGACTGCATACGGAAACAAAGAGGAGATACCTATCAGACTCACACTATCCTCTATACTCATCGCAAAGCTATCAACCATCATCAATCCTACCATATATTTTGTGCTTAATCGAAAATTCAGACCTTTTATTAAACGTTATTTATCTATGCCTTTTCATGGTATTCTGAATTTGATAGGAGACAAAAGCAGTACTTCGGGATAGACAACAATGTTGGGCCAATATCGCGATTTATATTTACATAACACATCGTCTGATATATATCATATGTCATGAAAATAATGACGACTTCTTTATGATCTTGTTAATATAAGGTAATATTTTAACATATGTTTTTGAATGGAGAAAAACAAAACACTAAAACATGTCGATATTTACCTCGTTGCATGATATACAAAGGGCAGCAAAACATACATCACCAAGATAATTTGTCGAGGTAAATATTTCAATGAAACTCTTAGAAACGTTGCAGTGTAGTTATTGCACTATACAATATTTTCAGTTATTTCTCTACAAGTGTCTGTAAGTCGCGTCGGAACTACCGTTGTTGAACTCGTTTAGAAAACCGTATGGTTGTGAATATTGTGTTGATGATTCAAAGTAACCGTTCAATCTTTGACCTTTTTTTTTTTTAAAGTATTGACTTTCCTGACAGAGATATGAACGTAATCGACAACTATTATGATTATTTGTTGATATTTGATGTTATGATAATACGATATGTTTCATAGACATGTATCAGATGTAAAGTTTACAACGAACTATTTTTTTGTTTCTGTTTGTTTAAAGAATGGTTACAAATCGTAACAGGAGAGACGGAATGAAAACTTTTTTAATCGTGTGTCTATTTTCATATATGGTGCTGTTCTTGCATATATATCATATATCTACATTCATTTAAAGTCTCTTTAATTCTTGAAAGAATGGTAAAGCTGTAAAACACAGTGTGATATCAATGACTTGAAGTAGTATATAAAAGAACAAACATCAGGCAATGACAACTGCGCTTTTTTTGCATTTAATAAAATAAGAAATCAAGAGACTTTAGATATCTAATAATGATTACAACGAATTTTATGTTGCGATTTACTGTATGTTGTTGAACATTATCTGACTGGTATGTGTTAATATCAATTTGTTTGTGACTTCTGTTGATTGCCAGTTTTGTGAATACTATACAGTAAAACCTCGTTATATTGTCACCATTTGTCCAGATAACTTCTGGCGTTATAAAGGGGTATGGCAATACATTGTGGAACACGTGTTTAAAAGAGAAAAAGGATCATAAAATATATTAGCGGTAAGCGAGATGGTAAATGAAGCGAGTGTCATTATATCGAAGTCTTACTGTAATCCAATTACGGACATAAACAGATGAAGCTTTGAGGAAAAGTGTAAAAAGGGTCAGTAGATTTTATTCGGTTACAAGAAAGAAGTTGATATTTTTCTACCTTAGCATGTATTTTTTTTTACTTACGCGGAAAAACAATCTATCAGAGAGCAGGGTTAAATATAGAACAAACACATGGCCATTTTGCAACTATGACGTCGCAATACAGCAGGTTTTAACGAAGTCCATGTCTTTGTCGAGATAAGTGTTATAAACATAAAGCAATGCTCCTTGAAAAATAACAGTTGAATAAAAACATATGTCATTTTTTGTTTATAGAATTCTGTTAACACATGTTAAACATGGTGAGTTTACGGGTTCTTTTCAAACGATGGTATAACCCTTTGCGTGCAAAGCACACATGGTTTTTAGTAATACAATTACAACATTGATCCCTGGTTGCTTTGGCCATCTTATTAAATTGCATCAGTTCTACTGAATCAGGCAGCTTGTCAATGCCTTAATTTATTTCCTATTTACATGCCTTATAAAGGATTTTTTTCTGTGTCATCAGACCCCAGGGACAGGATGAAGTAGAAAAGTTTTCGCTATGTGTTGTTCTTCATGGTAACATTACACCCAAGGCGGTCATACTTACCTTTAGTAGCATGTTTTGATATTAATCAACATAGACAAAACTTTTATTCACAATTTAACTAGAAGTATCATGACCGTCAGTGTATTTACATTGCATACAACGATGGAACGAATACGACTGTGATCAATACATTCCACAATGGTTCCAGGTAATCAAGACGATTAAAAATGAATATGGGACAATCATGCCTGTGATATCATTTTCCAAGCAGTCCCTGTTGAATCTTTTGATTTGCCTCACATTATCCATCCGTCATTCACCATCTATAAATAGAAACAACGAATTATGTTGTACATTCTCTATCTCTAAAACTGCAAATCGAAGATATAGAGGTAACTCAGCGCACAACGCGAGATAATTGGATATCATATTTATCTAACCCAATTAAGTTAATTTCGAATTGAATATCTACATGAGGTTTAGCGAGAGGTATGTATACACGATCCACCTATTCATACACTTTTGTAATTTTAACTGGTATGGTAAAATACCTTGTGCATTAAACAAAGACTATTTTGATAAAAATACTATGTCCTTTGAAATTCAAGCTGAATTTGTATCGGTGGCGTTGCAAAGAAGATGTCTTCAACTGATGTTGATAGAATATTTGCTTTTATATAACTCGTCCACAATAAGAAGAAAGAAGATGATAGAAATGCAATTCAAGTTTATAAAATATATCGCTAATGTAGTTTTCAATTTCCATGATTTATCAATTTGCTCAATATCATTTTTATATTCTCATTTATTCTTCATTGTTTAAGTATGTTTATTAAATATTGTATCCCGTTACAACGAAATGTGTATTGCTATTTTAAATGCCTTTGTGATAAAATATGCCGCGTTGTTCGACTTTGTCAATGCAAGTGAAGATCTCGTATCTCATGGGATGATTAATAAGTTGTTTGTTGAAATGTTGCGGCAAAATAAAATGTTTGTACTCGACCAATGTCTTTTTGTTTTCTATCCATGTTGACGTCAAGTGCAGTTGTGACAAATCAGCATGTAACGGTTTAGAAAACAATCTTTACAATAAATATGCTTCAACGCATTTGAATGAAGTTGAAAATTAATTCTGCTTGTATGCCTTAAAACGATATTTAATAACAAAAAGCCAACTAATAAAGATACTCGCTGGTAACATGTTATATATGTTTCGGTTAAGCATATACACAATGCTGGCAGCATTTCTGATTTAAGGGAAATTAAGGTGATCTGGATCTGATGTACTGTCAGTGGTAATTTGAAACAAAACGGCTTCTTAAGAGAAGTTAAACAGCTTCGTAACAAATTATATTTTACGACATGAATTTTAACGCTCGAAGGGTTCAAAAAAGGGCTTAATTAAATAACCACCGTACAGCGATACCAAACAGTCAATTCATGTTTAGGAAACTTCTCTCTGTCAGATAATATAGAAAGACAGCTGTGAGCAACACGAGTTATGACAGATATATATCCAAAACAATAAAAATATGTGAATTATAACAAAAAAAAGACAGTACTTAGTGGGGTTATTTTTACATCACATTATCTGCAAAAGGAAATAGTATATTATGAAAGAAGAACACATAAAAGCATATATGCTCGAATCAGTAGAAATCAAATCAATAATGTAAGGCCGTCCGAACACTCACTGTCTGAATTAAAAAGACGTAGGGGTATGGATACGGACATGAAAGAAAGATGTCCCGAATAGTTACCTACAAATCCATTGTACCTTTTGGAACGAACATAGTTTTATCAAAAAACAATGGAGAAATCCATCCATGACTATGTGACGAAATATTCACGGTTGAAAACATAAAGCCTGGAAATCGTATATTGTGCCTGAGTTAAATACATGAAATCCTTGGAGAAAACTGGAGGGAAATACATACATATATAATTTGAACACCGTTTGCAAAAAAATGAAGATATGTAAGCAAGGAGATGAATGTTTAGAACAGTAAGTTTACCTGCACGCAGATTAACAACAACTGCATTTAAAGTAACTTGTCAGTCAATTAAAAAGATAGTGGAGAATCAATAGTCAATGCAAGAAATAATTTAAAGGCGTAACGGGTTTTATCGTGGAATACTAACTCCGACGAACCCGTAGACCTACATTAGCAGTTCAGCAAAAGGGCAGGAAAAGACAGAAAGATTCATTAGTTTGGTATGAAAAATGTATCATTATTTTGTTGTTGATACAACAGTAACTGAACAAACGCAATATATGACCTTTTCGAAAACGTTTGTTTCCTTTGTCAGGCAAATAGTGCAAATGGCCGGTGTCCCGACTCGACAGCGCTGAAATTAACTCACGAAGCCACACTGTGCTCAGTCAGTAAAAGCAGATGTCATGATAATACCGCGACATTGCGTTCACTCTCATACCACATGCAGTCAGAATGATGGGTAATGAAGGTTTCTAGGTGTTTTAAGTTGTTCCCGTCTATGATATGATTGTGTATGTCGTTAACATGGTCTGCTATACCTATTTATTGTATTGTTTCTCCGATTTCCTTCTTGTATGTATGCTGCTCCATAGTTTCAGCGTTTTTCGGAAAATCCTTAAGGCATTTCCAAAATATTTAGCCTGTTTTGCCTATATCTGTGTAATACATATATACATATATCAGTGGAAACTGGCCCTAGATATTGAGTTCATATGACATTTTCATCAATTAAGTCAGCTAGCAATGATCTTATGAAGCCTAGTGTATCAGGGCATGGAGAAGGTTGACTTTATACGGAATCAATAAAAATGGGCCGGATTAGAGCGACAAAGAAGTTGTACAAACCAGTCTATACTATTCTGAGTAACGTTGACGACCAAAGCTATACAATTGAGATGTCGACCATTAAATAAGTTGATAATAGAAAAACATTTGACAGAATCACCTATGTTATTTAAAACTTATCAACGTAAAAACATAATAAAACAAATCGAAATCAATTCTGCATTAACTACCAAGTCTTTAACATAACATGCTAAAACAGATCACTTCCCCCTTTTTTATTCTTTTGTTGTAATGTCGAATTTTCCCCCCAGATACCTTTCCCACTGCACCGGTGTTTTTTCATATACATAGAAACCTTCTATTTCGTTTTGGATATAACTGTAGCACAGTTTTGTCAGGATGTTTCAATTGACAATGTAGCTCAGTCGGTTAAAGCTGCAGCATAACTATCTGAAGACAAGACTTCGAATCGCGATGTAGCCTCCTTTTT